TTTAAATATACTTTTGTCCTTTTTGTACGAATATCTTTGTCCTTTGTAGATGGTGTTTGCTGCTATTACTTGTGAAGGATATAATACGGATTTTCAAATTTTAGTATGGTTTCACACATGTCTAATTATTTGCACAACTTGAAAATGTCTTCATCTCTTGTTCTATGTCCACATGTGATCCACATGTCTCACCTGTACGTTTACAGCAGATACTCTAATTTTTAAGTTCGAATTGCCTGAGCCTGTATGTAAAAGAATAACAAGAATAATAAAAGCTTGTTGAAACAAGTATTTCTGTAATCTTCGATCGTGTATGCACGCCTCAGGTGTCTCCGAGTTTCGCTCGGGGTGTTGAAAGCGACACGTTAACGTAAGTCGTCGTTCGTGAAACAGAGAGGGAAAAGAGATTGGGTGTCTAGACACCCCAACCCACGTGGCAAAGGTGGTAGACGAGCATGCTTTACTCGCTAAAGGTGTGAACAGCGCCGCGAGGGCGACAGGGTGGGATTAGTTGAACGTAGATAATGTGTATACACGCGTGCACTCACGAACCGTGAACTCGCGTGTCGAAGGGCGTGTCATTCATCTGGGAATGAATGAATGAGGATGTGCGATTCATGCTGGCGAGAAAAGGTTTCATTTTTAATGTCGCATTGTGTCGCTTTGAAACAGGGCTTGAAATATCCGTTAAAACTTTAGAAAACGAGCTGCTTTTTACATTTTTAAGTTCTCGCGCGGCTAAAGTGTCGCGTGCAACACAATTTCTCGGTACGGCTTTGGCGAGTAATGATTTAAATGTAATTGGTTATTTAATGCGTTTTAATTGGAAATATTATTGTATTTATAATTTGCATATGATTATTAATCATGTACATAATTTGCATATAATTAGTTATTATGTACGCGATTATATGTATATGAAATTATTAATTATTAATCGTGTCATTTTGTTACTGGGAATTTGTATTTGTATTTGAAATCTGTTTGGGAATTAAGCTTTAAATTGGACAATATTGAAATTTGAGATGTCTGTTATAAAATTTGTAATTCATTTGGAAATTTGTTATTTGAGAATTTGGCAGTTTAAGAGACTTATGTTTTAAAAATTTGAAAAATTCATAACTTTGAAATTAGGAACTTGATAAATTCACAATTTGAAAATTTGGGTATATTAGAAATGTATAATCTGGAATTTAGGAATTTGTATATTTAGAAGTTTAAAAATGTATCAGAAATAAATTTACAAACTTCGATGCATTCACATATCCATATTCATACACGTATCTGCTCCATTTTAATCACTTTTCGCACATCAAATATAAAATTCAATTTCGACACGGCTTCACTCGTGAAATTGTACCAATACAGAAAAGCAAACAATCTAACAGAATACATTTATCAATACTCTGCTATATCAAAACCAGCAAATAATTTATATAGAATCGAAAGGTGCTATTATTGTTCTGACTATGAATCTCTTATATGATTAGAAATAAGGATCTCCATACACGTTCACAATGTAAATATGTGAATATAAAAGTACAGTTAGATAGATTATCACTTTACTGAACAGTCTAACATTTTATATATAACTTATTATTAATGGTTAAATTTTTTAAGTATAATTATTGCTTGCTATCTTATATTTTCTTAGAATCAGATGTCTGTCATATCTCGAAAATCCACCTCCTGATATATGATCATACAACTGCTCCCTAACAGTACTAACATACTCCGATATTACTATATTTTTAAATAAGTATTTTTACCGGAAGAATAAGAAGCTTCAAATCCTTCTACCAATATATAAATACTTCAACACTTTTCTATAACATCAGCTAAATATTTATAAGAGAAGCTGGAAGTATCTAACGAACCAAAAATCAAGACGTGATCAGAAACAGAAGCATGAAACCTTATACAAGAACGTAATATATATTTTCTATGAAATTCCTATAAAAACTTTCAACGAAGAGTTATACACATATTTTTTACAAAATTTGATTTGACCCTGATCCACCAAGAATTTAAAAATGACATTTTGTGTAAAATAACTGTTCCGAAGCGCTCGGAATATAATCGGCGTAATATTTATGGGTGTTTTGTCAAACCTTTACTCTTGCAATTTCAAACGGATCTTCAAGACCACATGGATGTCTCTACAGCTTGACATTCTTAACTATTGACAATAACCTTTTAACAGGCTAGAAAAGCACATCTTTATAACGCCAATATATCTTTCCTTAAAGAAGTTTATGTCCATAGTCCTAAACTGTGCACCCTTGCTGTGTGCAGTGTTTACGAAAATCCTTGCGTACTCGGCGGACCAGGCACCCTGACTCGGTCATTCAGCAGTCTCGCAATGTGTCCCCTTACTTAGTTCTTTGAAGGACCCAAATCACTTAACTGTTTGGGTCACCTTATTAACGAAACGTTATTTACAACCCTGGACTGAAGGCTAAAATCTTACAATCCCATTCGTCGAACCATCTCACCAATCACTGTTTTTTACAAATAACAATCTGTCCTGATTGGTCCCTTTTGGCAACGCCTTCACGTCCTGAATTTCTTCCTGTGCTTTCTTTTCTGACTGTTTAGAGGCAACTAGTCAGTCTTAGATTAACTTTGTAACTATCAACTACATCAACACACACACCAGTATAATTAGTGGGATGATGATCTACATCCTTCATTGATCTGGACACACCAGTGTGGAGGACTCTGAGCCACTATATAAACTCTACTTTACAATAAAATTCTACTTCATAATATTAACTTTAGAAATATTCCACGACTGTAACAGGTTTTGGAAACGCCATGGGTCGACGAAGATTTACAACCTTCGTAAATAACTGTAAACAGTTTATATTTTACCCATCGCGCGTAACAATAACTCTGTAGATGGCCCAAATTTGTCATTAGAATTAAATTCGAGAATTCTTAGAAAAATAACTATTCCTTCTTCACGATGAATCATGACTCCAGTCTATTTCTTCCTTTAACAAAATTTTAAATGTTCGAGCCGATCATAGTTTCAACGCTCTCAAATTACAAATGTTTTGAAATGTAGGCTTCAGATCAAAAACCTTCACACAGACCTTCACACGGCGTACAGCTCTCTATCGAATTGTGCCAGTCATATGACACCCTATGCGATTGCTTGCCTCGTATACGCAAACTTTACGTACCGATGTCAACCCACGAGTTGGCGCGTGAAGAGTCTCAGGGGTTTAAAAGAGCTCCTCCGATTGGTCAGAATAGAAAAATGGGCGCCACATGTATTTTCGGCGGTATTGCTTGAGCGATCGCACACTAATTACGTCAAAAATGACAGGCAAACATCTCGAAAACGAATAGTGCGAATTGCGTGATACAGCTGTTATTGTCATTATTATTCTTATTTGTCGAAATGTAACGGAAGTGTTCACGGTGGGCTTCTTTTACTTTGGGTCGACCTCACGCGCCAACTCGTTAATCGTGACGCTGTTAATCCTGTTTTTTCCGTCTACAATGTTCACAAGAGTCTCAAAGTTACACACACTAATCCACGAAGAATTAAAAAATGACTTATACTTTCCGTAAAATCACTCTCTATCCGCTTGTACCAGTCACATGGCACCCTCTGCGACAGCTTACCTCGTATACGCAAACTTTACATAGATACACTGTTAAGGCTGTGTTTTTCCGTCTACAATGTTCACAACGCAGAGTCTGAAAGTTACACACCGCGATCCACGAAGAATTTAAAAATGTACGGTCGTTAGCAAGTGGCGCGACAGAAATGTAAAAGCGTCGAGAAAGGCAAGTTCCCGGGATCTAATTCCACGTCGTTGTACACAGAAGTTCGCCAGCCCCTCGAAACGTCGAGGAATACGTAATATACTCGCTCAGTTTCTCTCCGGGGTAACCCGTTTTACTGTCGTGGAACTTCTTATGATTATGGTAGTTGTGCCGCGGAAAAGAAATGGAGGAACGAAAGTAGGAAAGAACGTTTCATCCTGACTCTGTCTGTGAACTCATCAGTTAGACTATCTAACAGGCACGTGCCTTATGTGTGGAATATTTAAAATCTGTCTCACACCATATACGTTTGATGTCCCAGTTTTATACCGTCAAAGAACTCCATACACAAAAGTAAATACTTAAGTACTCTATACGCAAAGGTGAGATGTTAGGTGGGGTTGTAAATATTTTATTGAAAAGTTATGATGTATGAAATGATTTTTAATTACTTTACTTTTTTGCTAGTTTTGTATGTGGAAGTTTAGCGGTATGTAGATAAGAGTAGTGACTATGTGAATATGGGATAATGCGTTATTAAATGTTGTTATGGTGGATATGAAAATATTGAACTTTGCAAATATAAAAATTTAGAGATTTTTCAGTTTTCAGGTACAGAAATTTGAGATTCCTAAATTTTTTAATTCTTAGAGTTTTAAAGTCTTAACTTCAAATTTCTCAAATTCTTCAAACTCTATAAGTTTTTAAAATTCCTTAAAATTCTCAAATTCTCAAATCCTCAAATTTCTCAAATTTCTTAAATTCTTCAATTCCACAAGTTTCTAAAATTCTTCAAATCCCTTACGTTTCTCAAATTTCTGTAACTTGAATTTTTGTCAAATTTCCAAAACTCCCAAATTTTGTATATCTCCGAAAACCCAATCTACAAATTTCTAATAGAACCTATTCTTTCTCAAAATAAAATAATTCTATATTTGTATACACCTACATAAACACCTTACACAATCTACGTTTCGTACAAAGCCTCACAGGAAAATGTATGCATACACGTAACTCATAAATGTTGCTCCACCAGTAAATACATGAAACGTGCATATATTGTCTCGTGATAATCTCAACGAAACAGTTGGTGAACTTGCATTCGCTATCTGCGATCAGCTTGGAAAGCTTCTACTTGCTTTAGTATCCGAGGAACTGCTTTTGAATTTCAATTCACATGCTTCTATCTCTATCGTCTCGATCGATGAACGCGTGTACGGATGTCTTCAGATCAATTATTAATCCACATGTATCTTACAAAATTCCAACGACTGATCTCACATTTCTTTCTGTTCCAGATCTCTCCGATCACCAGCTTCTGCAGGGTGAGTAACTTTTTCATTCATTTAATGCGTATGGATATCACTCTTCTCACTCGAGTGTTATTCTTCATTACTATATTTACTTTTTGTTAGTTTTATGTAAGAAAGTATATTTATATACTTTTCGGTTGAATTTTTGATCAACGTGTAACTTGTTGAGTGCTAGTTATGTTTAGTCATATGTTCAATTATGTTATGACGCGTTTAATCATATTTTTTATTTATTAATTAATTGTATTATTATGATGTGTTTAATAGTATGTTTCATTGTATTATTTTATTATATTGTTATAATGAGTTTAATCGTATGTGTAATTGTTGAATCACATTAATATATGGATATATGTAGTATGGAATGTATGTTATAATTTATGAAATTTTATAAAAATACGTTAATATGTAAATGATTAAGTTAATAGGTAATTAAAGAAGAAAAGAAAGTAGTACGCCATACAATATTACTACTTTATTCAAAAGTTATTTAAATTGTGTTAAAAACAATGAAGAAGTTAAAGCAATAAAAATGATTAGAACATGGCTGACTTCACACAGAAACCTCACATAACCTAACCTAGCTCATGGTAGAAAATTAAGATCAAACAGTAAAAATCGAATATTTCAATTTATTTACCAATTCACCTAATTCGCAACTAGTTTGAAATAAAATATTTTTCCAAAAATACAATACTGTATTATTCCAGTAAGTTGAGGTTAATTTCGTTGGTTTTCCAAGATCAAACTTCGAAGAATTTAATCATCGTTCAGTGTACCCACCGAAAACCCTGGGTTCGTCATAAACTAATGAAACTCCGATACTTTTTCGTTTTATTAACCGCCCTAATTCTCAAGGCAGTGATCGTAAAAGCAGAATACGACGGTGCGCTGAATAAATGCTTTCAACCGAGAGCTGATCGATCGCAGCCTCCAGTGTCTTGACATAAATTTAAAAATTAATCGAGAGTTAAAAGCATCGGAGTTCCTATCGTACGGAATATCGGTTTGACATATTTTTTTCGAAATGTCGATAAAAACAATGACTCGAGTTGTATCGTGGGAAGACCAGAGGAGCACATTAATTTTTTCTTCTTTCTCTTACGAGGTGAATACACGTCTTCAGCCTTTCTTTTGACAAGGGTTCTTCCCCTGAGATTTTTGCATGTACAGGGTGTCTCGGGTTAATGATATCAGCTGTAGGGGTAGCTTTAAAGGGGTGGACACAATGCTGTGTGATAGAACTATTAGTGAGGTCATAATTAATATTACAATTAATATTAGAATTAATATTAGAATTAATAGTGGGTTATGAAATGAAACTTTGGTTTAATTTTAAATTAATATTACAATTAATATTAGAATTAATATTAGAATTAATAGTGGGTTATTAAATGAAACGTTGATTTAATTTCAAAGGTATTTTATTATTAATGAATTGATTAAGAACAAATATTATTAGTATGAAAAATAAACACACGAAGTGAAATTGCAATTAAACGCACGCTGAAAAAATCCGGTGTTCAATACATAGTGTATCTATTGCTTTTACTATTACTCTGTTTTAAATAAATATGCAGTGTTTCAATAGAAACATTCGTTGAATTGTGTACAGAGCACAATTTATTTTTGCATCAAGATTTAATATGTTTGTTTGAAATAAACCAGCAGTGAAAATAAAGAATATAAGTATATAAATAGTGAATATATTTAAATATTGGAAAACTTGATTCTATGACAATGTCAAGATTATAAATATTGAAAATTGAGAATAATTATTTAATTAAATAAATATTAAAAATTGGGAAACTAACATTTGAAATTGCAAAAAAATATAAACATTGAAAATTAGGAAACATGATCGTTTAAATTTGTAAAAATAAAAATTGAAAATTGGAAAACTCAATCATTTGAAACTGTAAAAAGTAGAAATATTGGAAGTTAGATAACTTGATTTGAAAATGTCAAAATTATAAATATTTTAAATTAGAAAATATAATCGTTTGAAAATGTAAAAAATGACAAATATTGAAAATTGGAAATTTGATCTTTTAAAACTATAAAAACTATAAATATTAAAAATTACGAATTTGATCATTTAATAATATAAAAACTATAAATAGTAAAAATTGGGAATTTGACCATTTAAAAATGTGCAAACTATAAATATGGAAAATCAAAAAATTTAATGTTCCAAAAATCAAATATTCAACATATGGAAACTATAAACAGAACAAATTAAAAATATGAAAATTAATTCCAACAACAAAAACTTGAGAATATAAAAATAAAGAAACTCCAAACAATAAAAATTTAGAAATACAAAAATGAATAAAAATCAGCCGAAATCTCTCACAGAAATGTTACATCCCCCATCATCCTCGAATCCAATATCTCCGCCACAAGATAAAATCCTTGGATTAAATAAATGTCAACTGCACGATACGTAGAATCGAGTACGATTACGATTTAACTAAAAACAAGATACAACAAAACGTTCCGAACACGCCTATCTTTCGCCCTTTGTTACGCTCGAGCAACTTTTCAATCCATGCAATACAATCTCCGAGAAAACAATCGATGAAACACACGAGTAGCGTATTCAAACCGATTTGCAGAGAAATATGAGACCATGGAAACAGAAGCGTTCGAGCTATCTCGGGGATACTATGGTCGATCTTTCTATCGAGCTTTTTCGATTCTATGCCTCAAAGGATCAAGCACGAGGAAAGTTTGTCGTGAATTCGTGAAACGACGACTATTTTTAACGGGACTCCAGTCGTCCATCTTCTTATGTCCGCAGGCTGTGACCTCTTCTTCGACTTCTATCCCCTGAAGATACAAGCTCCGCATGCTTTTACGAACTTCTTTTTTCTCTTCAACTTTTTATTCCCTTCGAAAAGCTTTCTGTTTTACTAACGATCATTGCTACTTGTATGAACGTTATACACCGAGTTACCTTGTAAAGTGCATAGACTTCTATTATGTGGCCAAGGGTGGAACTGTACAATCTTTTAAATTGACAATGTACAAAGAGATTTTTCATTGCAAATATGAAAATATATTTTCTACATTTCTTCGCTTTGAAGTTTAAAAATTTATTAGACAATACCAAACTTTTTTAAATTGTTCATTTTTTTGACAGTGTGGCATGAGTGAGTTGGAATTGCAAGTAATTGATCACTTACTATCAAAATTTCTGATATCACAAATTTTAAAATTTTCTCAAATGTAAACATCTAAATTTCTATAAAGTTGTAGAAGCGTATTTTATAGAATATTATACAATAATTATTACTACTCGAATTAGTAACAATATGGAATAATAATATATACAGGGTGGCTCACCACATTTTGCCATAGATTTGCGTGGTTATTATTACTCATAGCAAACAATGTTTCAGATGAAGTTGAATGATTTGGAGAGAGGCATATGCTGGGGGTACATTTTTTTGTAGGCGGACGTGTAAAGGACATATGAAAGTCATTAATGTTTTTTTAAATGGAATCATATATTTTTTATTGCATCAGCTGATACTCCTTCATATTATTTGCAAAAAAGTATTAATCTATTTATGTGAAAAAATCATTAGTTTAGGAGATATTTTAATTCTAACTTGTTAGGAAATCGTGACTTTCTGATCAATATTATGAATTGCCCTAACTGAACAGCAATTGTTTTTCTACATGCTTTGAGAGGTCAAGTGTCACTAAACGAATTGTGAGTTTTTGTTTTTTTTTTGTTACGCAGTAACAGTGAAATTTAGTCTCTGTTACGTCTCTAATACGATGAATACGACGATACGGTGAATTATCACTTCATAATGAAGTATTCTAAAGAAGAAGATAGACATGTTATCAGTTTATTTTGATGCTGGAAAAAGTGCTACACATGCAGAAAGATTATACACTACGGAATGTTAGTAAGTCATTGATTTCTCTATTCAGAAAGTGTTCTGAAGCAAATAGTCGCCACATTGAACCTTTTCTGTAAATAGACGTTAAAATTAAAATATTTCCTAAACTAATGATTTTTTCACATAAATAGATTCATACCTTTTTGTAAAGAATATGAAGGAGTATCAGCTGATGCAATAAAAAATATATGATTCCGTTTAAAAAAAACATTAGTGACCTTCATATGTCCTTTACACGTCCACCTACAAAAAAGAAATATACCACCAGCATATGCCCCTCTCAAAACTATTCAACTTCATCTGAAACATTGTTTGCTATGAGTAATAATAATGACGCAAATCTAGATGGCAAAATGTGGTGAACCATCCTGTATAATTACAATTCTCTCAGAGTAATGCTTCAATATCCAGAATTGTACAATTGTACAATTTTTTATATAATTACAAATTTTTACATCCACTTATAATTTAGTAGTCAACATGTTTGAAATGAAATTCGGTAGGGATACATTTTGTTCTCTTTCCAAAAAAATATTGACAGAAAATAAGATCGAAATTACGTGACGGAAATCTCGCTAAAAATGGTCATCATTTATTAAACCAGCCGAGAGGCTCCTTTAGAGCTCTCGACCCTGACCGTTCCAGTAGTATTTCATTATTAATTTTTCTCCGGAAGTTGGACGGTGTCCAAAGAAGGTCTGCTAGCTGTGGAAATGTCGTGCTTTCGAAATACTTTTAAGATCGCGTCTGAAATTGGTTTTTCCGTGGCCGGAAAGGTAGAAGCGCAGCTTCTTTCTTCGGTCATTTCTTCTTCTACGAACCTCTTACCTTTTCTAGGACTTGACACCCTTAAATCACATCCTGGAACGTCTTTCGACGATAAATGCATGCTGTAGCTGATGAAAAGGGTTATATGGAGTTATCAGGTGATAAACGTGTATCAGTAATAATAGTTGGATAGTAAACGTGCAAATATGATAGAAACTTGATATAAATTTAATATAAATGTGATACGAATTGATATACATTTGATAGAAGTTTGATAAAAATTTGATATAAATTTGATATAAATTTGATATAAATTTGATATAAATT